CAATCACTGTAGATACTAGAACTTCGTCATTTTCTTTCAGGTACTTATGAGCGAGGTTGTCTGCATGAGGAAGAGTTTTTGCTGCTGGATAGTATTGTCGCACAAAGTCACTGATCAGTCCCTCTGCAGGAAACGGTGGTTACCCAGCAAAACAAACAGCAACCAAATTCATTAACACAGTCGTGTTGGGTTATCTCTTTCATTAATGCCCTGTTAAAGGCTCCAGATATGGCCTGTTTATCCCTAATCTCACATTCTTCTTTAATTTTAATGTGATGCTTGCTTTCTACATGTTCTTTTATCCTGCTGGCATGAGAACTGACTTCAGTGCCACAGTACTTGCAGCACAATGCATCCTCTTCACCTTGCTGTTTACTCTTTTTGAAAACTTCTTTACACCTGATTTTCACGGATATATTCACATAGAGATTTGCTCTTTCTATCAATCTTTTACTTTTTTTCCTGTGTGTTTTTATTCAGCCCCACATTAAATGGAAGCAGTAAGCGCCTATTTATGCCACGTGAGCCAATCATGGCATGATATTAACATAGTGTAATCTGACTGGCTCCATCATGTGTTTGGAGTGAGTTTTACATTTAAGAATTGCTTTAGATTCAGTGCTGCAATACAAAACTGTCTATCAGGATGTCACTTCATAAAAATTAATACCTGGTAAAATGATACTGAGTGCACTGAAAAACAAGTGTAAATCAGTAAAAACAAAGTAACTTCAATTAAAAAAATCAGGTAATTTATCAGTGAAATTTGGTAAAAACTGAAAATGCACAACACTAAGAACACAGCATCATCTTAAAAAAAAAAAGATCCTCTAAGATGATAAAGGGAATGGATACTCTTTCTTATGAAAGGAGATTAAAGGAGCCTGACTTGTTCAGTGCAACGAAATGGAAACTGAGAGGGCATATAATCACTGATTTGTGGGGTGAATATTAGGGAAGGGGAAGGCTCTCTCTTAGACCAAAAACCAGCACCAGCATAAGATCAAATGACTATGAACAGGCTATAAATAGATTTAGATTAAAAAAATTAGAAGATTTCTAACTATAGGAGGAGTGAAGTTTTGGAATGATTTTTCTAAGCAGAATGGTGGGGATAAGGAACCCAAGTTGCTTTAAGACTGAACTGGATAAGTTTATGGAAGGGATTTTATTGTAGGACAGGGAGTTCTTTCTTAACGATCAGTGGGTTTGATGTGGAATCACTGTGTTTGTGGTCTCCAAGTTAGGAACTAAAAATAGCTCTTGTCTAGAAGGCATCTGTTAAGTCAGTGCCTCGGGTTGTAGATAAGAGTAAATGCACCAAAGACAAATGAAAGGTCCTACACTAGGAAAGAAAAATCATATGTACAAATACAGAAGGTGGTTTGGCTAGGTAGTAGTATTACTGAGAAGGATCTCAGAGTTTTGTTGATTCACAGACTCTGCATGAGTCAGCAGTGTGGTACAGTCATTAGAAAAGTAGATACAGTTTGGGGTGGTATTAATAGATGTAGAATATGCAGACTAAGATCAAATATTAGAACATGGGAGGGGGTGGGATAATAGTGCCACAGTGCTGATCAGGCCTCATTTAGAGCGATTGAGGCCAACCTTTTTGTCAGGTGTGCCAAAAATCAACCCCCTGCCCAATCTGCTCCTCTGCTTTCTGTTCTCTGTGTCTGAAACCGTGCTGCCTGCCCTCTCCCTGATTTACTGTGTGCGGCTTGCAATGCATGTAAGTTGGCCACCCCTGATTTGGAGTATTGTGCAGCCCAGAATTGCACACAACCAAAGAAGAATGTGGAGAAACTGGAAAGGATCCAGCAGCCAGTGATAAATATGATAAAGGGCTTGGAATGCAAGCTGTATGAGGAAAGGTTGAGAGTAGGTGTGTTTTAATGTGGTGAAAAGGAGATAAAGATGAAATATGATAGTAGTTTTCAAATATTTGAAAGCCTTCCATAAAGAAGAGAAAAGAACTGTTCTCCCTTTCTGGAGAGGGCAGGACTCAAGGCAGTGAATTTAAGTTGAAGACTTAAATTTAATCTGAGAAAAACAATTCTTAGGAAGTGGAACTTCAGGGAAATTTGTGCCATTTCCTTCATCAGAGATTTTTAAGAAAGGGCTCAGTAAATGCATGTGTGGGATAATTTGGGCATGGTGTACCCTGCATTTATGTGGGGGGTTGGACTAGGTGACCCTTGAGGGTACCTTCCAATACTATATTTTATGAACTTTGAATAGTTATGTGAAAAGATGAAAATAAAAATCATGTACGGTGCCAACACCCCAGGAAAGCAATGGTGGGGAACAGTGAAAAACAATTGGGTTGCTAATAGCTGTTAAAACATGAAAATGTTTGGTTTGTGTTTAAAAAATTGAAGTTTGTTAGAGTATTGTACAGGCAACAAAGATTATTTTGTATAATTTTTCTAAGAATAGCTTTTAAGATGGTTGAAAAGGTAGTCCTGTTTGCTAAAAATGTGAACTTTTGTCTTCAGTTAAATATTTCTAGATGAAGAATTTGTCAAAAACGTTTTGTTTAGCTTGGAAAAAATAATATGCCTCCCAATATTAACTTTTTTCTCAAAACTTTTTAGCCTGGAAACTCAAGTAAAAAAGACTGCTTTCATTCAGTAAAGCATTTCCATATAACAGTGAGACTGCTATGCTAGAATCATAGAAAATTAGGGTTGGAAGGACCCTCAGGAGGACATCTGATCCAACCCTCTGCTCAAAGCAGAACCAACCCCAACTATATCATGCCAGCCAGTTCAGCATTCCTCCTTTCTCCCCCACCCACTTGTCTCTCACCTATTGTCTCCCATTCCCTCTGATGCTCACTGCTATTCATTTACAGTTTCACATACCTGTATTTTACGTATTGACTTCTGTTCTACCTAGGAAAGTGCAGAAACACCAGCAAACTCTCCCTGTTGCCTGAAGAAGGGTGTTTGTGTCCAAAAGCTTGCAAATAATTTTTCCAACTATGTAGTTGGTCTAATAAAAGATGTCACATCTACCCAAAGAACTGTGTCTGCTCATGCCAGCCAAAGCTTTGTGTACCTGGGTCTTAAAAGCCTCCAAGGAAAGAGATTTCACAACCTCTCTGGGAAGCTTGTTCCAGTACTTTTTGCCCTCCTAGTGAGAGAGCTTTTCCTGACCTGCAACCTAAATTTCCCTTGCTGCAACTTGAAACCATTGCTTCTGTTATCTGCCGCCACTGAAACTATTATAGCTCTAGCTCCATCCTCTTTATAACCACCCTTCAGGTAACCGAAGGCTGCAATTAAATCCCCCCTCAGTCTTCTGTTCTTCAGACTAAATGAGCCCAGTTCCCTCAGCCTCTCCTCAGAAGTCATGTGTCCCAGCCCTCTAACCATTTTTGTTTCCCTCAAAGAGGCAATATACTTATACTCCCCCCTAGTTGATTGTCCAAGTTTCCACTTCTTGTAAGCTTCCTTTTTTGTGTTTTAGCTCATTGAAGAGTTCTCTAAGCCAAGCTGCAGTGATCTTCTGCCATACTTGCTAGTCTTCCTGCATATTGGGATGGTTTGTTCTTGTGCCCTTAGTAAGGTTTCTTTAAAGTACAGCCAGTAATTCTGGCCTCCCAGGGGATCCTACCCATCAGTTCCCTTAGTGATTTGAAGTCTGCAACTAAAACCAACTAGTTTTCAAGTTGAGTATATCTAAGAAATAATCCATATGCTGCAAGGCAAGCCATGCATGAAGCATTAAGTATGATTGTGGAAAGGATAGAAAGTGTTAACTTTTCACATTTTGATAAAATATATTATCAAATTGAAATATAGTATGTTATTTTTCAGGCATCCTACTTGGAGAAATGATGGACTGCTGAAATGTTGTGATATTCTGTTTTTTGTAGAGCTGTCAAGGTATTGAGGAAGAATACTGCAGGCTGTCTTTTTAGGTTAGCTTGTTCCAACTTTCTCATTTCACAGAGAATATTTTAGTGTGATTTCTGCTCCCCTTTGTTGTAATTCCTGTCTCTTGATTACCTTGACACCTGCTTCTTCTGTCTAGTACTTGGTTATGGGGTTTTTTTTTTTTATCTTTGAAATTTGAAACTTTTCATTTACAGGATCCCTTTTGGAAAAAATACTGTCCCTGTTTAGTATAAGAAAAATGTTATACTTCCATTTGTAAATTCTGTAGCATACCGATTGTCCAAATTTACTATATAAGTAAGGTCTGAGGGTGCTAGCTTCTCACCTAGGAAGCCCTGAATGGCTTGAGACTTGCCTAACAGAAAATCTGCTTCTGGCCCTAAGCAATACTTGCCCGGATTGTGAAAATGTGCAGGTTTTCCCTTGGAACCACTGCAGTTTAAAAGAGGATGGAAGCCTTAGTCTTAAAAATACCCTGAATTTACTGACCTTTGGGGCATGCTGCAAGGCTTGTCCATACTCTGATGCTTTTAGAGAATGGGAATAAAGCAAAAGATTGTATGTTTATGGAGGGGAATCAATATTTTAATTCGCTTTTCATTTTCTGTTTGAAGCTTTTTGAAGGATTTTCTGTTTGAAGGCAGTTGAAGGATAAGTTGTTGATTCTGTGGATTCTAATGTACTTTTAATATAGCAAAATTCATATTGATACTTAAAACTTTAGTAGAGTTCTTACAGTTCTTTCTTTAGAAACTAAGGTTATGAGAGAGTTGTTCTGAGACAGGGAACCTCAAGGCAAAAAGTTTTTTAAGGGATGGGATTAATTTTTCTTAAAAAGAAATGAACTAGAATTAAAAACAAGGTAAAAATTCCCAGATTACTTTAGCTAATGTAATTGCAACAATGTTTTCATCCCTTGGGGCAGCTGGTATTTTCCTAGGATATCCTGTTCACATGTCTGTGGCTTGAGTTAAATTTCTAGCTGCTTTACTTATAACAACAGAACTTTCATGGCTCATCTAGGCCGTATATGAAAAGTTAAACTATCTTATCTTTTAAAAAATGTTTTTGTTTTTCCTTTCTTTTTGCCAGCAAGGTTTTGAGATACTGAATGAAGAGGATGCTTCATTTATCCTAAAGGTTACACAAATTCTTACAGATGCTTTGGTGGAATATCGACAACAGGTTGCACCAAGAAAAGTAAATATGTTTACACATTATCTATCTATCTATCTATACATGCATTATATCGATAGATATAGATATATATTACAGGGACCTACTGAATTCACAGCAGGAGTAGAGTGCACGGCAGCTCCTTTAAACTTGCATGTTCCCCGGCGTGTACCTTGCTCTTTGCCCCCCACCCCTCATTGTTGATTTAGCGGAGGATCCTGCCACTCCCTCCTGATCAGCAGGCTGAAACTGTGGTTTTAAACGTGGTGCTGTTTTTGCCTCCCCGCTAGTCAGCAGCAAACAGCAGGGCTTTCCAGGGCCCATCAGCCGGTCAGTGGCAGAAGGCAAAAATGGCTCCATATTTAAAACCGAAGTTTTCTCCTCCCTGCTGAGCAGGAGTGAGCTGCAAATGGGTCCCCTCTACCGATCGTGAGGGGGCAGGGCAGGGGAACCTGCAAGGTTAAAGGAGCTACAGTGCATCCCACCTCCATCGTGAATTCATTAAGTCCCTACATATGCATATACATTTGTCCTGCAATAGAATTTATCTTTAGACTGGTGCACAGTGAATATTTTTCAGTTCAGAAATGGTATTTATATGTATGTAGAATGAACAAATAGACAGTGTCCACGTTTTGACCACAGGATGATAGATTTTTTTTTGTAGTGAAGATAGTGAGCCAAGTCCATAGCTCTTTCAGTACTTGTAATATTATCTCCCTTAACTTGCTGCTGACTAGGGCCCCAGAAATTTTCTGATGAAAATTATGACAAAATTGGCCTGTTTTTCAAGCCTTTTAAAAAACGGTATTTGGAAACTTGCGCTTAGTTATCCTACTACATGTTAACATTTAAAAATCCCAATCATTCATTCTTTTGAGAGATGCTGTTATGGTAATTCATGAAGTCACGTGGAATAGAAGATTAAGCATGGGGGTTTTGGCCAGATTACTGTTCTTCCCTGCTTCTGGCATATGAAATGGGTACTTTTGCTAACTTGCAGTTCTGTTCGAAAGACTGAAAAATGAGAACCACAGCATGTAAGTAACAAGGGGTTTTGACAGTTTGAGAGAATGGCTTCTTAAAATCTCAGTGACAGACAATTTATAATGGTTTACTGAATAATGTTAATGTTATCTCAGTGGTTTTACAACATTTAAATGTATGTTATAGTGATTCTGTCTCCCCATTTAAAGTTAAGTGCTCTGTCCAACAGCTAAGTAAAATCAAGCAATGAAAAGATCAGCATATGTCCTTCAGCACGTTGCATAGCGAACAGGAAGTATCCAGACCAACAACTGTATGAGGATGTATCAGGAAGTCTAGCATGAACTTTTCACAACACCATCCTACAAATTAGATACATAGGTCCTTCAGTCTCCATTTAGAGAAGTAACAGAGAATCCGCAGAGCCTTCTTCTGCTTCTAAAAAAAACAGTATCCCTTCTCTTTCAAAACTACTTACCGAACATTGTATCATAGGAAAACTCTTTATCTGTAATGGAAAGAAATGAACCCCAACATTCTTCAGCTGGCTTTTTAGGAACATTTTATGAAAACGATGTCACTGCAGAATTCTTAAACAGTGTAAGAAACATGGATGTTGATGAAGTTACTACTACTCTACACAAAATAGCTGCAACAAATCCAGCCTTCAGAGGTAATGTGTGCATGTCTACAACTTAATTTTGTTTTCATTGAGTAACTTTAAAAAATTCTCTTATTTCAGAGGGGCAGAGCTCTACAAGTCAGAATAAGTTGTATTAGAAAAACAAGTTGACAAAACACTGCCTTATCTAAAAATGTTCGTTTTCCACTTTTGCAAGAGTGTCCTAATATGACAGATCAAAATGCTTGTAATGCTTGTTTTTCTTTGAAGATGTCATGTTCATCACCTTATTTTTATTGCTTTAGTTTTTTGTAAGATCATTAATGTTTACAGGGATTTTCGTACCATGAAATCTCATTTGGTTTAAGTCGAGCAGTGCCACCCTTGAAAAGACAGTAGATTATTTTTTTAATTTGAGATTCTAGAAAAAAGGATTTTTTTAAAGGACCTAATGTTATCTTACTGACATTCTTGGTAATCTACTCCAAGCCAGAAAAATAAGTATTCTCATCTGTGAGTTCCTGATAAGTCTCAGTTGCTGAATTGACCCACATTTTTGTATCAAATTCTATTGCTGCCTTCCTAGAACAGGCAGCTTGTACTAGGGCTTGGAATTGAGAACACACACAGTTTCTAGATGCACCTAGAAATAAAGTACCATTCTGGACACTAAAGACTACCTGAGAGCATTCTAATAAAATACATTTGAAAATTTGTTTCACTTAAGCATGCTTTCAGAAGTGATTCATGCAATGTCCAAATGTTTTAGCGTGTGTGTATTTTAAAAACATGTTACCAACAAGTCACTCATCTTTCTTTTTTCTTTTTAATTTTTTTTAATAAAGGAATTGACATTCCAAATGTGATAAGGATCCTGACTGAAAGTGGGAATCTTAGAGCACTGGACTGTTAGAGCACTGAGCAATGGCAGTAAGCAGCGATATAAGAAAATAAGGATTGGTTTGGAAACACTGTATTAACATAAACTGAAGATTTGTCTTTTACTTTAAGTAAACTTGTATACAAATAAATTCAGTGTATCTACATTTTGTACAGTTACTTTTCAGAACTACAGATTAGTAGTTTCATTTGACAGGTTTATGTTGATATCCAAATAAGTTGACAGTCTGTGTTTTTAGAAAGAGAATGTAAAATTTTTCCTTTCTCTTTTGTACAAACATTTTCATCACTTTTGAAAACTATGGTATAGCTATATCTAGGCCAGATGTCTTCGGGATCATATGCCAGAGGTATAAAATTTTCTTTTAACTCTTCATTTAAATGTGAATAAATGGAAGACTGTTTTTAGGGCCATCGGTCCAGCATTTTTAATTAATGGTCAAATAAATCATATTTGTGACTAAAATGTCAGTATTGTAATATTTTTATTTCAAGTGTATTTCAAGTTATTTCAAGTTTCTGTGTATAAAAATCTATACATTATATAGATAGACTTTTTGCCTCAAGATATCTTTTATAATAGAATGTAACACAGAGAGATCTTTATTTACAATAAATATTTTTAAATAGTTTATATTTGGTGGTGATTTAAAATTTCGGGTAGTGCCCACATGCTCTTTTTGGACTCAAAAGTCATGTTATAGAAGGAACACAGCGACAAAAATGGTTAGGTACTAAAAACAGCTTAACCTATGGTATTGTAGAAGTAGATAAAAGCCATGAAATGATGAATATTTGGGTAAATAAAATACAGAACATTGTTTACACTTCTGCTAAAGAGTTTGCCATCACAATTCCAGTTTCTAGAATGTACAAAATAGCTCTCACCACATTTGGAGACCATCTAGTCAACTTCATCCCACAGCTAGTCAAGTTTTGGTTTTTTTTCCCCCCAGTCTCCCTAATATACCAGGCTGGACATAAAGCAGAGTAGAGTCAATATGCATGTAAGTAGTATGCCTCAAGTGAAATCATTTTATTCTATAGTTTTGATCTTTGGATAGACATTATTAGTAATGTCCATGAAAATACATATGGTCGCTGTTAGATAAGTGTTGCTACAGCCATGAAAGTCCAAGGAACATGTAAGAAGCAGGATTTGTTTGCTAGTAATTCTTTATTGAACTAGCTATATAGTTGGGAGAATCTAAAACAAGTTCAGAAACAAAATGCCCTCCCTTAGGTCTGGAAACAGAATGGAGCATAAGAGTATATAGATGAACATTTGTAGCTCTCTTACTACCTTTAAAGTGCTCTAAAAAGTGAGGGTGCAGACAATGCACAGCAATGAAGTGCTACAAATCAGCCCAAACCTTATAAATAATAAACACTGGATAAAACACTTCAGTGTGAAGTGCTTCATGGTACTTTTCTATCCTCCAGTAGAGCTAGAATATCCATACATCCAAGTTTGACCAGGACGCTCCAGGATTCCATAGCCTGGTCCCAGCCAGTTGATCAGAAATTCCATGCGGGAACAAGGACATGCCACATGTCGGTGGAGTTGCACTTGATCTAGTCCGTCCACCTTGTTCCCACATAGAAGCAGTGGTGCCTGCCTGCTGGACTCCAGCCCGGGATTTTTGACCAATCAGCTGGGAGCAGGCTACTGAATCCTGAAGTGTGCTGGCCAAACCAAGATATATGGTCACCCTAAATAGAGTGCAACAGTACTCTGCTTCCCACTTCTCTCGTGTCACTGAGGTGGCTATTCAATGACTTACTGTTCTAGAGTCACAGGCCCTGCCCTGCCTATGACTTCAGCTTTTTAAAGCTAGACATATAGGTATGCCATGGCTGCTATTTTCAGGACTACCACCCTAGGAACTTGGCATCTCAAGGACAGCACATCTAACCACTCAGTCATCTGCCATATCACATCACCGGGATCCAAAATATCTGTATTTCTGAAATGCTCCCAACAACTGAAGGTGGGTAGAGGTCATGGACCATCTCTTCATCTGGGGTGAGGAGAGCATCCAAAGATCCCTCTAGAAATGCCATCACAATCAGGTTTTGTAGATTGCAGTAGAGGTAACAGATCACAGCTCTAACCAGGACTGGCATCGACACTGACTCGAGGCAGTGGTCATGGAAGTGCGTTACAAGAAGAACCTATGATGCTACTTTCATTTTGGTTGCCCAAAAATGACATATGTAATGAGAGTCTTGCTTGGTTGCGAATTATAGGAAGGTACCAGAGCTCTTGGACAGCAGTGACAAGAACCTGGAGGATCATGAGGAAGTTGTGCCCCAAGTTCCAACTGAAATGCAGTCCAGTGAGGGTTAGGAGTATTCTGGGGAGTCCCTCCTATTTAAGACCACCAACCAAGAGATGTGCCAACCTCTGGGAGAGAATAATTCCAATTGCACTGATTCATTGACGGCCACTTGACAATCTTGCCAACATCTTGCTCTTCCACTCCATAGTCATAGCTATAGGCAGTTCTTTCATCATCACAATACACCATCCTGCCATTGTAGCAGTCTTTTTCACCCACTATTGCCCTTACCACCCCCACCCCACCTTTGTCTTCTCAGCATCTGGGCCCTAGCCACCTTGAAGGGCCCCAGGGGTGGCCATGACACTCCCTGGTGGCTCCGCAATCATGCCCCACTCCACCCATAGGGCACCTTCCTATCTTTCCTGCCACACCTTGATGGTCTTATAATAAATAGGGAGGCTGCTCACAGGCCTTTGAATGGCCTCAGTCCAACTGGATCCCGCCGGCCTCTGCCTGTGTCCAGACCCCTTTCTGGGCTTCACTCATCTTTAGGCCCCTTTCTGGGCCTCATTCCATATCTGTGCCATCAGAGGGCACCTCAAGCCTTAAGGGCTAATTGTGTGGCTCCATATCTTCCCCTACACCATGCCCCAAGCCTTGCAGAAGTTACCGTAATGTTGTTCATCCATTGTGGCTTCAGCTTCCACCCCTTTACTCCTGCTAGGCTTTCTAGCCTGGGACCATTGTGTCAGACCTGGCTTTGAGGCACTAGCTTTATCCCTTCCAGTCACCAGGTCCCTTGCCCCTATCTGGCTTGGCCCTTCTCAGGCACCAGGCCCCTGGCCCTCATCTGGCTGCCACCTTGCATACCCTGCCTATTCCAGGCTCAGCAACAGCTCAAACCTTGAGCCTGCCTTGGCAGGGCTCAAGGCTATTGTATGCCCCACAGGCAGTAATGGGACCTTCTTATTCCTCTCCTTCAGTCCCAACCCAAACCGCTGGTATAACTGTAAAATAAATATAAACCTCTGGGCTGTAACATAAACAACAACAATGGAAGCGGCCCTCTGCCCCTCTATGAGGGCAAACCTTCCTTCACCCTTCTGCTGGCATACCTCCCAGCCTGGGCTCCTTGTGAACTCCGTGAGCCTCAGTGTTCTTGCAAGTTAGTCTATCATCCCTGTGCAGGAGCTCCTAACACTGCTGCTGGCAAAGCTAGACTGGCTTGCCAGCCCAAGACTCAGGTTTATATGCTCCCAGGGCACTGCCTATTTCTGTTCTGCAGGCTGCTTGCAGGTGCCTGCTAATTGCCTTTTTAGCACTGTTGTCCCAGCAGCCAGCAGCTGCTGCCCCCTGCCTAGCCTGCAGAGCTCCCTGGATGGATTACTTTTCTTTTAGCTCTCTATTACAAACATGTTCTACTCTTTGCCCATGATGCCATCTTTGAGCCAAAGGATTTTTTTGTTTGTTTGTATTTGCTGGTATCAATGCGTGAAATAAGAGCAGATACTCTGAATAGTGGAAATGTGCTATGCTTGTTTGGGAGTCCAAAATGAACCACACTGATTTCCTTCTCTACCCGCACCATTGTTTTTCTTGAAACCATGACATTATCTCACAGGTAACCAAAGGGGAAGAACAGTGGAGAAGGCCCTCTCTCTTATTTGGCCCATCCCCGCTTCTTTAAAAATGGGAAGTGGCAATAGGCTGGAGATCATTAGTGGTCAATAGACTGGCAAAAGCTGGTGGTTAGTCCATTCAGCCACTTGGTCCTCATTGTTGCACTTTCTGATGTTCTAGGGAAAGCTTGTGGCCTATAGCCTGAATAGGTGGATGTGGGAGGTGTGCAAATTAACTGCACAGTAGACTAATTTACTGTGCAGTAAGCAACTGCATGTATAGGTGGCGACACTTCACTGCACATCAGTTAGTCTTCTGTGTGGTAAATTGACTCATGCAGATGCATCCACTGGGAGCATCTACGCATGCAATTGGTATGCATTGGACTTACTGCGCAGTAAATTACTACATAGTAAGCTAGCCCTGGGAATGCATCTACACATGCACCCTATTGGGAACAGATTTATTCCTTAAGCAGATCTAGGGCTGCTCCTGCCCTGCTCGGACCTCCTGCAGCAGCCAGGGCGAGGTGCAGCTTCTGACCACTGCTGCCCAGGTGCCAGGGGTCTCTGGGGAGAGAGGGGCTCAACCTGACAGGGGACTTCAAGTGGGGGGATAGGCAGGCACAGCCTGACAGGGGATGCTGTTCTGGGAACCTGTGGCGAATGCACTGTGGATGCCCCCCACTCCTCCCCCTGCTCCCCCCACCAGTGGTGGACAGGGCACTGTGTCTGTGAGACACCTGCGGAGCACCTCCTCCCCCATCCCGCACAGTAGGTCCCCTGGGCTGCTGCCTGTGGCCTCCAGGCCCACAGCTCACCCACAAAACTACAGGCATTCTAGACAGTTTACATTCAACAAGCTTTATTTCCCTCCAAAACAGCACGCTCCCTCCTGCCCCGCTGCCCAACCCCAATTCCCACCACCAATAAAACACCCTCTTCTCCATTCTGCTGTTTACAGCAGTGCAGTTGGTACTGGTGGGCTGGCAGCGCCTATGGTGCGCAGCCTGGGGAGAAGTGTCCAGCATCCTGGCCTCTGGTGGAACCACTGCGGGTGCAGACACTGTGGTGAGACTGGCGGCTCAAGGGCTCAGCCAGGGGTGAGGGAGGGCACTGGCCAGCCTGTTCGCCCTCTTGCTCCATGGGGCCAGGCCCAGCAGAGGTCTTCTCCTGCTCAGGGGCTACATGGCAGGCAGAGGACTGGGGGAGAAGGGGACAGGGCACCAGCCTTGACAGGTGGCCTGGATGCCAGGGGACCTGGCTCAGGAGCAGCTGCTGCAGGGCCTCCTCCCATGCCCACTGCCCTGAGGCTAGGCCTAGGGCTGGTGGCTGGGCACCTGGTGGCTGCCAGGTGGCAAGAGGGGCCGGGACTGGCAGTGGGCAGCATGAAAGAGGTTGTGAGGGCCAGGATGCTGTTGAGCACCTGGTAGTCTTCCTCTGCAGCCCCCACTGCCGGAGCTGCCATGGAGGCCTGCTGCTCCTGGATGGTCACCATCCTGTTGAGGAGGGTAATGTGCCGGTCCTTGAGTTCTAGGAGCTGGGCACAGTATGCCCCCTCCTCCCAGCCCCTCTCTTGCTCATGGGCTGCCTGCTCCTGCTTGCATGTCTCCCTCTGTCGCTCGTGTGAGTCTCTTTCCCACTCACACACTTCTGCTGCTTCATACCAGGTGCACAAGTCAGCCAGCTGCTCCTC